TTAGTTTTTTTCTACGTGGTATGATGGTAAATAACCATACCTTATAATTTTCTGACCATTCTACAGAAATCTAATAAATTTACCCGCCCATTCTACGTGGTATGATGGTGACCCTCATGTATAATCTCTGTTTTTAACTGCTAGAGAGTTAGGTGTTTTAGGTTACCAGTCAATTCATATGAAACCTAACACTTTCAAATTTCAACTCCTCACTCTCCCTTTGGGTCTTATTTAACTGCTCTCAAGATTTTCGATATGTAAAATGCAACGTTTTGTTTGTCAATTAGGATATTTTAGTACTTTTGGGGGTAGAGAAAATTTTATATGTTTTAATAACATTATATTACTACATTAAAAATATAAAATGTGATATTACATAACCATATGTGTATATGAATAGAAAAAATAGAATTTAATCAATTATGAACAGTCAATACATTGTCTAGAATATTATTGTGGGATTTATAATTTTTTTTGAACGTGAGATTAATTTCTTTAGATAGATAATTGTTAAGAACCTTGAGGTCACCACCCCAAAAGCTAGCTCAAGGAGTGGGAGTGCCTAAAGTCTTATAAATAGTTGCCCATCCAATCAATGTGGCACTATATATCTCAACACGCCCCCTCACGCAAGAGCCCTTTAGGCTAGAAGTGTGGAAATTGCACAGGCCCATTTTTGGTTTATCTTTTTGTGTTTCTTATTTTATTTTAATTCCACTTTTTAAAGCGGGGTACGGTGAGGCTATGATACCATGTTAAGAACCTTGTGGTCACTACCCCAAAAACTAGCTCAAGGGGTGAGAGTGCCCAAAGCATTATAAAGGCCATATTAGTTGCCCATCCAATCAATGTGGGACTATATATCTCAACACGCCCCCTCACGCAAGAGCCCTTTAGGCTAGAAGCGTGGAAATTGCACAAGCCCATTTTTGATTTACCTATTTGTGTTTATTTTATTTTATTTTAATTCCACTTTTTAAAGCGGGGGACGGTGAGGCTCTGATACCATGTTAAGAACCTTGAGGTCACCATCCCAAAAGCTAACTCAAGGGGTGGGAGTGTCCTAGGCCTTATAAAGGCTATATTAATTGCCCATCTAATCAATGTGGGACTATATATCTCAACTAGGGGTGTAAATGAGCTGGGCTGGGCTGGGCTTTGGCCATCCTGGCCCAAGCCTACGTCAAAAAAAATTTAGTCTATCTGGCCTACTGGCCTATTAAAGGCTTTATTTGTAGGCCAAGCCCGGCCCATTTTCAAAAATAAGAAAGCCTGTCATGGCCTACAGGCCTTGTAGGCCTCCCACTATATATACTAAGCAAAAAAAATAATTGTATAGAGCAAAGAAAGTTCCATTCATGCATGCACTAGTACTTCTCATAAGAAAAAAATGACAAACAAGAAAGAGTCAACATAATACCTCAGCTCTAGAATGTATATCATAGAGGAATAGAGTCAAAGAAATGGGAAAAATAAGAAAAATACAAATACTAGATGCTGAAATAAAGTCTACAAGAGAATGTCATTCATCTAAAAATCTTTAAACCACCATCAAGACAAGGGAAAGAAGAGTATTATTGAAAGATCTTCATCAGTAACATCATAATCCAGCAAGGTACCCATTGCTCCATGGTATTAAGCTGCAACAGCATGTAAAATTTGGAGACATTAGACAAGTTTTCCTTTCATAAAATAAAATAGCACAAAAAGTAAGAGATATTGGTATTTGGCACTTTGTGTCTTTGCCACATAAAATAAATATTATTTTATTATTTTATTTTAATAAATTAAATAGGCCAGCCTACAAGGCTGTAGGCCGGGCTTGACAAAATTGGCCTATGGCCTATCTATTAAAAAAGCTTTTTTATAAGCCTAAGCCTACTCTACTTTTCTGAAAGGCCGGGCCTGGGCTGGCTCAATGTAGGTCGGGCCGTAGGCTGGGCTGGGCCAGCCTGGCCCATTTACACCCCTAATCTCAACAATAATAATACGATTATTCCTTTTTCACAAGAAATATTATCAAACCTTTGTCATACTCTAAAAATACCGATAGTTTAATGTTACACCTGATTATTTGGTAAGTAAAAGTATAAACATTCAGCCGATTCTACACTCAATTGTTATTTGTTAGTATTGCTTATAATTTATGTTGCACTGATATTGACACGGAATACGGAATACGACACAACATTTCGACACGTTAATTTTTAAAAATATTAAATTTTGACACGTTAAGACACTTTTTTATTATATAATATTTTTAATTTATGTAGTATATATTTGTTAGAGATATCATAGGAGATAAATCAGGAAATTTGATTGATTGTGTAATCATGTATCAAATATAACGCAAAAAGAAGAAAACAAATCATGTGATTTTTTTTATTGTGGGCAAAATAATTTGACCCAATTATTGTATCACTTATTATTTATATTGAATAGAACCCCCTTCCTGAATCATAACAGAGAGGGAGAGAAACATCATCAGTGTGGACGTAGGCCTAATGGCTGAACCACGATAAATTCGTGTGTCTTTTTATTTTTCAATATTATATTTAATATTCAATAATTTAACAAAAAAATAAAACTAAATTTATAATACCCACCACTTTTGAAAAGAAACATAAGATATCCCAAATATTTATATTAAACTCAATAAAATAGTAATCTTGATCTAACGAATCTAATATTAGAACTAAAAATACAACGCAACGTAACCTTTGAACTTTTTTTGAGTCTTTACAACGAGTATTAGAATATCAAAAAGTGTCAAACACGACATGTTAAAAATTTTAAAATATCGATACTTCATCACTTATAATAATGTTGCCATAACGGCATGCCAAAAACATTTCTATCAGAAATAACTACAAGCCACGATCAAATGCCTGAATTTTTCTGCTGCTCACTTCTAAAATAAAAAATAATGATGCCCATTGACCTCAGTGGCATCAAACCTATAACGACTTAAGACAATTAAAAATAAAGTTTTAAGAAATAGACTTATGCATTTTTCCATAGCGTCAATTGCGGAGGAACGATGGACCAATTGATTTGTTTGAACGTATTGTTTTTTTTGTATTAGGATGCTTCTTCTGCCCACCAAACTAATCAATAACCACTAAAGAGTAAGCTTGGTTTATCGTTTGCACTCCGAAAGCATGGTTTTGCGGTGCAGGTTAAATTTTACATTACCTCATATACATACACACAGGGAATTATTCTCTCATGTAATATGAGAAACATTATCTCATGTTAAGAGATAAATAAAATGAGTCCCACTAACTTTAAAAAAAAAAAAAAACACATTTTTTGAAAAGAGAATGACATGAGAAATCCATCTTATGCGGAATATATTTCCTATATACATATTTGGTAAAGTCATTTTTGATACATTTGTACTTGGATTTTAAAGTTATAATTTTAATTTTGTAAATTGGGGAGAAATTACACCCTCGACTCTCAGTTTTGCAATCTAAAAATCAAGCATAATTTTGATAATCGAAAATGGTAGAATCATGTTACAAGTCCCATATTCGTTGTCTATACAACTAATGTGGAGTTTAAAAGGCCTTGGGCACTCTCACTCTTTGAGCTAGCTTTTGGGGTGGTGATCTCAAGGTTCGTAACAATCGGTGCTTTCATTGAGAGTTGAAGCCACGGAAAGGATTACCTATAGGTTGGATTAAGGTGCCTTTGGGCACTGAATACTGGTAGGTGAGTGAAGCTTCCCCAAAGGGAGAAAAGGGCTACCGTCGGGTCAGTGTCGATAGAGTGAAAGCCGCCGTAGACGTCGGCCCTTAAAGGGGTGGCAATGTTACAAGTCCCACATTGGTTGCCTATACAACTAATGTGGCCTTTAAAGACCTTGAACACTCCCACCTTTTGAGCTAGCTTCTGGGGTGGTGATCTCAAGGTTCATAACAAATCACTAAATGTTTCTCTTGATTTATGCACATCTTCCAAAGCCGAATTGACAACAAATTGATACATCTATTGCTACAAACTTAATTTGAAATGACACTCATAGCTAAAGAGAGTGGCAAAGGGTAATCTATTCGTTTGTCAATACCTTTTTTCTATCATTGACGAGCTAACATTAAGCATGGGAAATTGGGAACTCAATCAATAAATTCCCCTTTCTCTAAAATTGTCTATCTTCCTTTTTTTAATTTTTCAAAACAAATTACAATCAACATCACAGGCTTCTGCTATCAAATGTCCCTGTCTGTAAGGAGCGTTTTGTTTCTAAATTATTTTTCTCAAATGGTTCTCCTGAGACAATAAATGAGGCAGCAGATAAGGACAGCTACCAAGAATTACAGCCACAATGGAGAATTAATCCGCTAGGTGGAGATAGCTTTTCACATTTGTTTGTTGCCAGAGAGTAATTTAAGCTTTAATGAATGAATAATAAAGTTGGACAAACATTATTCCCACAAATTTTATTCTCAATAACCTTTCACCTACAATGAATAGCTTCAGTACCCCTCCAATGAGCAACAAGATTATCACTCTATTTACTGGAAGATACAGTGATCAGTATATACTTAGTAATGAAGAAGCTCTAATCTTGTTCTCCATCACTAGCATACAACTTTCTAGTAAGAGATGGTTTAAGGACATGCACCAACTCAAGTTCAATATAGTGATACTCCCTCACAATGTTGAAAAATGGTATCTATCTGATTTTCTGGGTATGTAGGTCAGGCAAGATGTCCAATGGGAAATTAGGAATTTTAAAACTACTATATTGTAATTGCATTTTTCTTTGCGGCCTTCTTAGTTCTCTGGACTCCCCTCATATTGCACTGCTTCGAAAGAAAACAAAAAAAACCACTTTCCATTAAACCCGACCAGCGAGTGTAGGGTGGAGGTAATTCTTGTACGTAGTCTTACTCTTGCATAAATGCTTAAAAAGAAAACAAAAGAAGAAAAAATGTACAACTTATTGAAAAAGGAAAAATAAAATATATAAAAAATTAAAATAAGCCAGAAACAAACAAGCTTCACATTATACAACTTATTGATGTTATAAGCAAAAATTGCTCATGCTCTCGTACATATGCATTACTTCCAAATCATTACAGAGACAATGCAATTCAAGTAACAAGACTTAATAGAATTACAAAGTAAAAAGTAAATGCTCTCTATAATTAACATATCCTTTAACTTTAGCATCAAACACCCACAGCGGATACTAAAAAGTAAGTGAATTCTTCACTTTGCTAATGATCAAAGCTCATGGCTCGAAGTCATTTTGTTCATCTTCAAACTCCTCCTGGTTCTGGTACCCATTGTTGTTGCCATAGTAATTACCTCTGTTGTTGTACCAGTTATTAGTATTCACTCCTCTAGATGAGTCACCATAGAGTGTTGGATTGTACTTCTCATAGTTAACGTCATAAAAATATTTTCCACCCTCCAAAAACCTTGTGTCACTCATCCCTTGTCTCTCACCATTGTACCTGTTATTGGCAGCATTGTTGTTGTTGTTGTTGTTGGAGTACCTGTTCTTAGCAGCATTATAATTATTATTTTTGTAGTAGTATCTGTCATTGGCAGCATTGTTGTTGGGGTAATACTTGTGGTTGCTGTGCTGATTTCCCATGTAGTTGTATCCTCCTTCTGTGTACTTTGTGTCGCTCAACTCATTATGGTGACCCCCATAAACATCCTTGTTGTAATACTTGTTGTTTGTGTTGCTGAATTCATTTTGGTCGGTGTTATAGGCATCATTGTTGTAGTTGGAGTACTTGTTGCTGGTGTCCTCAAACTCAGTTTTGTATGGCTGGTAAGTGGTGGTGGTGGTGGAAGGAGCAGCATTAGTTGTGGTGGTGGTGGTGGTAGGAGGAAGCTGACTAGACTCGTCATGGCCGTATAGGCCATAACTGTTTTTAGTCTCGGGGATGAAAACTGGTTGTTTTTCTGGCTTGTTTGTTACTGATTCTTCTTTGTTGGGAAGCTCTGTCTCTTTGACATTGTTATTGTTGTTGTTGTTGAAATGAGTGACTTTGCTGAAGAACTGAGTGTCTCTGGCAATAATTTGCAGAGGCAACAAAAGGGTTGTGAAGAAAAGGAAAGAAATGTAGTTAGAGAAGGGAGCCATAGATGACACTGGAAGAGGGAATATGGTCTGAGCTATATTGCCCAAGTATCTTTATATATATATATATATATATATATATATATATATATATGAAGGTCATAGGACCTTAAACTCTGTTCTCTCAATTTTTTTCAACTTAGTAGGTGTAAATGGGAGCGAGGTTAGATGATGTGGTCCCTCTACAAAAGTAACTTTAGTTAATTAAAATTGGCCCTTCTTCATCCATATTTTTTCGTTAATTATATTGTATGATACCGTCAGGATGAGGACTCTGCAGCTGCTTGTTTCTTTATGGAAAGCAACGTCATTATAAATTGCAATTCTTGTTGTGCCAAGAGAGCTAAACATTTAATTAGCTTCATTTTCCTTTATTGATTAGTAGTTGCACCATATATTATGACGCAACCATTGCATTCATAGGTGGTAGATTTCAAACTGTTGGATTCCAGCCAAAAAAAGTTTTTCTATCAAGTTTACATTCATATCCAGCGGCCCATAAACTATATGACACCAAGTATATTAATGGTGCATTCAAATGTCAAAAAGGATGGCTAAAATGATACAACCAACTATGGATTAAAAGTTTTTTTTATTCCAATTTGTAGTATTTCATTAGTAAATTTATCTATAAATATATCTTTGTTGAGGCCTTCCCCCTAAACTTCTATTTACCCAAAAAAAAGAAAAAGAATGTTGTAATCAAGTAAATGGTTGCGCAATGTAGACTTGATATATTGATTAAGGTTAAATGGACGCCAAAATTTTCTTTAATCATTTTAGTCTTTTAGGACATAATCATCATAGCTTCATCAATCATCATATTTCCACCAATGAAAATCCGGAGATATATTGCAGTTTAGTCTCTAAAAATAAAACCCAGTTGTTAAATTAATCAAAGACTTAAGTATGGCCTTAAATGGTGGGGTACATGATAGTGCTCTAAAAAAGTTGAGTCATGGAAGAAGATAAGGGCACAAAGGTAGCACGGAAACGAGACCGAGATAGGGAAGGCCGGTCCGAGTATTTATGCGTGGATTGAGGAGTTGGTGGGACACGAAAATAATGGCATTTGGTGCACTCAGCATGTGCCCTCTATGCCTTGTCTACTACGTGGAGTGAGAGTGATGGTCCTCCAGAACCTGCTTATTCAATCTTTTTGAAAGTGCTTATGTGTTTTAGAGCCTATTTGAATTGGCTTTTAAAAAAATATTTTTTATGTCTTATTATTTTAGAAGTATTTTTTATAAAGGTTAAAGTTATTAGGTCCGTTTGGATGAGTTTTTTAAAAAATGACTTTTTATGCATTATTTTTTTTAAAAGAAATATTTTTAAAAGATAAAGTTATTTACGTTTGGATATATGATCTGAAAATCACTTTTACATAAAAAAAATTGTTTGGATGTTAAAATAAAAAAATACTTATTATATATAAAATTACAATAAAAGAGAGATAAAATAGCATGATCGGATGATAAGGAGAGATAAAATAAATGTGATAAGATGAGGTTAAAATTGTATTTTAAAAATTTATATTATTTTTTTTCCAAAAAAAAAATTTATATTATCTTTTAATTTCTGCTTTTTTCAAAAGCAACCAACTAATGGTTAAGAAAAAGCAGCATTTTAATTTTTATTTTAAATTTTACTTTTTAAAAAAGTTGTTATCCAAACATCTAAAAATTCTTAAAAGGACTTTTATCTTAAAAAAAATAATTTTTTTAAGAATAAAAGCTCATCCAAACAGATACTTAAAAAAATATTTATTTTTTATTTTTTATTTTTTTTAGAAGCTAAAATTTTTAACTTAAAAAAAAATTGACTTTTTTTATAACTTCCGTAGGCATTCAGATAAATTTTTTCCGGAAAATGTTTTTTTTTTTTTTTAAATAACTTTTGAAAAGAAAAAAAATTCATCCATAGGCCCTTAATACTCAGGAAATTCCTTAGCATACAAAGTCAGTGCGGGTCTGGATCTAACTACACTTCCATTTCTCTTGGTTTCGGCCATTTAAAAATATAATTGAAGTTTGACTTTGGCTTTTAATCAATCTTACTGCTCCTTAAATTTCAATTTTAATCAATTAATGTAAAGTTTAAAATTTGATTAATTTAGCATTTTGAAAGAAGACTATTACCCTAAAAAAGAGGGCAAAGACTGGCCTCTTTATCTTTCGAAATTGATGAGTAAGACATTTCAAGTTTTCTCTCCAAGAAACAGCATATCTGGCGCTGAAATCTATGTTAATTATTCCAACCCTGCCAAAGTTTCACACACTAAACTTTGAGGGGGAATATTTTGACTACCAAAAGTGTTCACTACCACCTTACTACCTATCAAATTACCATTGGATCAAAAAGAGAGAATATTAAAAAGTTTTTGAAGAGAGAGAAAATGTTAATCCAATGGTGATTAAATAGGTAGTAAGGTGGTAGTGAAAACTTTTGGTAGTCAAAATATCCTCCCTCCTAAACTTTTCCATTGATATCAAGATTGAGGATCATCTTGAGAAATCAAATAGGCATGAAATTCACTTTTAAGGATCTTAGTATTACTCTTGACTGTGACAAAACAAAATGGGTTCCTCAAAATAAATCAACATAGTTTTGCTTTCTACATTTTTAGAAGGTTGATTCTGCAAATCCAAGTGCATGGTGTTTATATGGTGCATGACACGTGCCAGGTATTAATAATTGTGGTGTGGTAGAATTTAGCTTCTTCTTTTTCAATCTCGTGTTTGGTTAGGTTTATTGAGTTACTGACCAACTCTGGTACAAATCTTTAGGGTTTGCATTGTTCGTCATGTATGCCAACTACTTTGGGTCACCCATGTGAAATAATTAGGGAGAGTGATGGTCATAAATTTTCTTAATGTAGGTAATAAAAGAAGCAGGTAAGTTGGGAATCAACGTCTAATTAAATTTTGCATTACCAAGAAAAGTGTAAAGTTCTGTTACGATACTAGTCTAAAGCCAAAAAAAGAAAAGGGTAAAATGGATTGACCGTTAAATCTAGTTTGATTGAGTAAAGTGGTATGAAATATCTGTTTCCAAGACAAGAAGTATATTTTGAAAGCATATTACGAAAACAAAATACACCTAATAACTCCTCTCTCTTTTTTCTCTCTTTCCTTAATTTTATGAATCTTTTAAACCATTTTTTTTAATTGAAATCCCTCTCTCTCTTTTTGGAAATATTTCAATTAACTAATTATTTTTTTGATTTCGTAATCCACCTTCTTAACTATTTATTATTTGGTGATTGAATAAATGGATTTTAAAGAGTTCATTATCTAGACATAGGAATATTGATCTAGATATTTATTGATAGAGCTTAATTTTGATCCAATGTGTAATTTTTTTTACATTATTACTTAATCATGTATAATTAAAAGAGTGTAGCTTTTAATAAAATTATCATGAGAATCACATTCTTTTAGTAATGTAGCATTGTGTAATTAAGGTTTTATAGTGAGACGGAATAAAAATTAAATCACCAAACTCATGTTAGTAAAAGAAAAAAAAAAAACACATTCTTTTTGTTTGTGTTTTTGGGGCCTCTCTTATTAACAAAAAATATATATATATTTTAGGTCCGCGGCTTTAGGGCTTGTTAAGAGGAATTTTTGTCTTCATCGCCTGAGTATTTTAAAATATTATCTTAGATATAGAATAGGATACTTTAGGAAATCTAAAAGGATGAAATACTTTCTTTTAAATATTTTCTCTTTTGATTTTATCGTTTTTAACTTTGTGTAAATTTGAAGGGCGGGCTTGGCTCAGCGGTAAGCTTGCTTGCCGTGGTGTGTCAGGTCGCGGATTTGAATCAGCCTCTCTGCAAAAAGCAGGTGAAAGACTGCCTAGAGTATTCCCTTCTCCAGACACTCACGAAGTGGGTATTTGAACTGGGTCGGCCCTTTTAACTTTGTGTAAATTTAAAATACTCACATAACCTTATATTATCCTTTTTGTTTTTGCGGAATCTTCTTTCTTTCTTGCCAGATCACTCATGCCAATGATAACTTGCTTAAAGAAATGTGTTTCAATCTTCTTTTTTCTTTTTTTGACAAGTAACATTTTCATTTTTGCCATAATGGAGCAACAATATGAGTGCCACGTCTTCGAGGAGGTGACAAGTGATCATCATCTAATGCTATGAATAAGGTGGAAAAAATTAATCCAAAAAAATAAAATTCTTGTCTTCTCGAGAAGTCTATGAAATGGAACGCGTTCCTCTTGAACTTTAACCTCTTACTCATCTTTGCCCTTTATCCTTCTTTTACTATTTTGTTTCAATTTCTTTTTTTCTTTTTCTTTTTCCTATTGGAAAGGAAGCAGCTATAAATTATAGTTCCGCCAATTACGCCATTAATTTTAGACCATCTGGGCGTATGACCGAAGGCATGCGTGTTAGTCTAAGGAATTTTGACAAAGACTGTCAATATATGACTCAATTTGCAGCAAAACTTCCCATCCCAAATAAATGAATGCAATATGCAATGTTAAATTTGTTCTTATTTGGTCATCAATTTACCTAAAAGCTTAAGTTAGTAAGTGATATGCTTCCAATAGTTTTATATCATATCTCTTTAATATTCTCTTGTAATGGCTAAAACAATTATACAAACAGTATTTAAGCAAATCTATGCTAGAAGAAATGGAAATCCATAAGCACAATTTGTTCATTATCAATATGTACAAATTTCAAGTTCACTGCATAATAAGAGACATTCTTCCTTTGCTTAGAAATTAGGTAAAAGACAAATGCATAAAAAGGTACACATAAACCCTTACGGAGTCATAAGTGGCAGAAATTTTTTGTGATATATAAAATAGTTATTGAAATTGTTTTTTAACCCCTCATTTCAACGTTTGTGTGAACTCTCTTTAAGAAAAAACTCTGCATCTTGGAAATTATGCTCATACCCTCAGGTTGTGGTAGTCTCGTTTAATATGATGTAAATCGGGCTTCCTTTCCAGATCTTTGACCTTTATGTAGGGTCTCTTTATTCCTAAGTTCTAAAAAATTAAAAAATACAAATGCTTGCGCAGAAAGAGTGGTGAATAATTTTGGATTAATGTGATATTTTATAAGTAATATTACTTAGAAACGCCCGAGAGAAAACATACTGGGCCAAATACAGGAAAGGCTCCATATTTAACGTAATGGACATGGGCTTCAGTGCAATTGACATCTACTAAGGAAGTGATCAAATTCCAAGTGCAAGTTTTACTTTGGACAATGTGACAAATACCCTGCACAAAGAATGTGAGAAAACAAACAGGGCCAATCAAGCACAAGGACACCAAATTTGAGTAGCAATTCAACCGTGGCTCCAGTGTAAAAGGGAGGGGAGAGGGGCCCAATAAACTCTGGAATTTTAACGTATCTTTTCTTAGAAAGAAAGCTTCATAATCTGTAACCAAAATAAATCTGCTTCTAATGCCAAATTAATCACATTAAGGACTTAATAAATATTTTAGCAGACTAATTTAAATGATTTCATCATTATTCTCATACATCGGATTCACAAAATAATTATTGATTCAAGCATCCAAGTGTCTAAGTTTTGAATTAAGACATACTAACATTTTGCTGAAAACATCCTTCAAAATGTTAGTCATTCAAGTAATCATGTTTTAAATTAAACTGATATGACATAGAAAAATAATTAAAATTCTCGAACCATGAACCGAGCTAAACTATTTCTGAGTACCCCTGAATTCCATTTATACATTCCTCAAAGGCTCAAACACTTACATCTATAAAATCTAAACATCAAAACTCACGTATTGATCGAAAATAAGTTGATAAATGAAAAGAAATTATTGGACAAAGATTTTGTAGTGCAACTAAATTGTTTTAACCTCCACCCAAAAAAAAAAAGTTCTTAAATTGCCCATCAATCAAGAGAGCGAAATGGATTCCAAATCAAAAGTGACAACAACAAAAGATTGGGAATTAGAATGGGTAAAAGGGGGTTAACATTTTTGTCAAGGTGTTTCCTAGACAGCCTCTTTCTAACATAAGCTCTCCTTTGTTCGTGTCCCCACTCAGCTTCATCCACTCCCTTGGCAAGAATCAATGGTGGGGGTTGCTGGAATGGGCACTTGGACCTCCAAGAGGTTTGAGGAAGCCCCATTCTGAAGACCCTTTTGAGGAATAATGACCATTCCCATCTTTTGAGAATCCAAGGATCAGAGCAGAGGATTGGTGGATAATCCCATTTGAGGTAGCAGGGGATTTGTGTGGCAATGAAGAATTGAGAGTGCAGAGATGGTGTTGTTGTGGGGCTTGTTAGGATGTGTGTTAAGGCTTGGAGTCTTTGCTCCCACCTTGTATCTTCCATGGACATTTGGAGAAAAAAGCGCAGGATAAGGCTAAGATTTGGAATAACAGATAAGATATTACGATCTGATGATCAGGTAGATATTCCATTCCATCTGATCTAAATTAAAAGTGGAAAGTTATTTTTATTTTTTATTTTTTTAACGAGAAATGCTAAGAATATTATTTGACAGTCTCTTTTTATTATTATTAGATAAAATTTAATATTAATCTCGTAAATAAAAAAGTAAACATAAGCTTTTACTAAATAATACAAAAGTGTTAAAAAAAGAATTTATGTCACTTACGTTCTTTTATTTTTAAATTTTGTTAGATATGTATTAGTATTCAAGTCTTATCTTTCTTTATTCAAGTTTGCACATTTAAAAAGTTAGAGAACGCTTTAAAATAAAGTTTTTATGTAATCTATATGAACTTGAATTGGTCTCAAAATACATTTTTCTCGTCTAAATTTTAATTTTGAACTGTTTTTTAATGGAGGAATAGTTTAATATCAAATACTTTATCTTAGAGTATTTAAGAAATTCAGCGAGAATAAGACAAAAACTTTTTTGAAAATAAGTTGTTTTGTTCAAAGTCTAATTTTTACTGGATTTCTTTTATGTTAAGTTTGGTATAAAAATGTTAAGTTTGGTATAAAAATCAAGGGAAAAACTATTCTCATGTTATATGAGATAAAAAATTTCTCCTATACATCCTTCAATAAATATGCCACCTTTTTCTTTTTTTTTCTATTTATTTTTGCAAGAGGTAAAACGCACAAATTTATCCCTATGACATGAGATAACTTATCTCCTTTAACATGAGATTAATAAAACACAAAAATCAAAATAAAATTCTATTTCAAAAACTTTAAGTAATCATCAAGCACTTGAGATTTTAAAAACTGATCCCATTATACATAATTCATTTTTTAAAAGTTGACAGAAGTGTCATTTATGTTATAAACTGCATTCCACTTTGGAGTTGTATATTTATATTCAAATTATCATTTAAGTAACCCTTCTTCATAATTAAATATTCACAAAAGCATAATTATTCTATTATAAAGTATGATTATTTTGTTAGTTTACTTCTAGTAACATTGACATGACATCTACACAATAACCACTGTTCACAGTCCAAGATTTTATTTGAAACCCGTCCAAATTAAAAAATAAAAATGAATAAATAAATAAACCAAGGGACAAAGCTGTAATATGCCCGCGGACGAAAAAATTTCTTTCTTGTAAGAAAATTTTCACCATTACATTTGAGTAGATGTGCATCTTTACCCCCAAGACTTTTGGGTACACTTGAACTAATTCGCTTTATGTAACTTGAACTAATTCGCTTTATGTAACTTGAACTAATTTGATCAAAAGAAATCACACCCGGATTGACCTAAATATTCCACGAGGTTTTGTTCCAATTAATTGGTATAGTTATGATTTGAACTAGTGACTATGTGCAAATATAAAATAATAAATATTGTCAAATAGTAATGGCCAATTTTCTCTCTCTTTCAATCTCTATTTAACTCAAATTTTCTCACTACCTCCTTCACCCCTCCTCACTTTTTTCTATCATTCTTTTTTCTTTCCATCTCTTAAGTTTTATAAGACACGTATGCGAGTGTTAAGGGCTAGTAGTATGTATTTCAGGATCTTTTCAGAGAGATATGTACAGGCGGAAAAAAGTTTGAAGCTGCAGCATTAAAATTCTGCTGTCAAAATTCACACTAAGAGAAGTATTTTCAGCTACTTGCTACCATACTAGATCAAAACTACATTTGTCCACCATCACTGTGAAACGTATGACATGTTCTTCTAGCATAAGTGTTGGAAGAAAGTTGTCAGTTGTCACTATAGAAAGCAGGAAAAAAAATCTTGCCTGCCCAGCAATTATGATGAAAGCAACATCCAGGCACTCATTAATGGAAAGGTTATTAGAGCACAAGCCTGAAAACATGTCCATTTAATCAAAGAATGATACCACAAGTTATAAAGAACAGTCAAAACCCTAGAATTTATTCATCTAAAACTTTTAGAAAGTAAACTGAAATCTTTAAGCTTACCAGGAAGAAAACTAACTCATCGTTTGCAAGAGACGCAGTCAATTCATTTGTCTTCATCAGATCTTTGATGAAACCTTGAAGCTACATATACAATTTGTGTTTAAAAAATTTGTTGCTGCATAAATATTGGATTTCTTGAAAGTGGAATTCCTTACAATGCTAAATAATAAAAACTAAAAATGCCTCGTTGTATCCCCCAAAACATCTTTTAAATACGATTTTATATATATGTGTGTGATATTATGAAATTTCAAATAAAAATATCAAGTTTCCACAGAGAATGTGCTTCAGATGGATAAAAGAATAAAGATTATTTTCTTACGCAAATATTTATCAAATAAGGGAAAAACCAGGGCACAAATATCTATCAAATATTAACTAAAAACTAATATATGTTTTCATGCAGACCTCATGGTGATACTTTTTGGCCATTGAAGAGCATCTCTTCAACTGATCCATAGCCGGCGTGATGAGTGAACTGACTACAGTCCTTCCACCAAATACATACGAATCCAGTGCCCGAAGATCATCAAGAAGGCTGTTGATAAACTATGAACCAAACAAAGATATGGAAAGGGGCATGAGAAATTGTGATGCATGGCATATGTAAAGGTGCTACTGATGGAAGACACAACAATTTCTCACATATCTTTTGATAAAAAATATCACACTGCACGAGAGTACATAATTATTGCAGACGTGATAAAGTATTACTTATGTTTACATTAAAAAATTAGTCTGAAGTGCTCAAACTAGTTATATGAATACTGAAACACTTAAAATTACCTTCAAAAATGTGCATCTTGTTAGGCTTGCTAGTCTTCGGGCCTTTAGAGTCCTCATCTTTGCGCATACAAACACACACGTGCATAAAGAAAATGAGAAGATCAAAAAGCACAAGAAAAGAATACTGTAAACTTGTTAAGTTTTCAAAATTTTATTAACTAGAAAATGAACTTCATATACGTTGGTAATGTGAAGAGCCTGCTCAAGATGCTGAACTTGAATCCACTGTTCAGTCACAATATCACCCATCTGAATGGAAAAGATAATTAACATCAACTAATGCAAGGATCTATAATCTATCTCAACCAAGCCACAAATTAATTAGTAAAAAATGTTAAATTGCATATAAAGTAAGCAAATTCATAATAGGTCTTTATATCAGCTAAAACCTGTGTGAGCTACAATACATTTATATACTGCATTAAAATGGATTATATATACTCCTAAACCAATTTTCTCGCTACATAGATGCTTATGTCTTCGATTTGATTTGATGTGTCATGCCCAGCAGTGCTACACTAAAGAGCTTGGTAGTTGGTGATTCACTAGGAAAGGCTGAGTTAGAAAACTCTGTACACTACACAATAGTTAATTTACGCACAAGCCACTGTTTTCCCTTTTGGTTATCTTAGACTCTTAAGCTTTATGATTCCTACCCAAAAAACATAGAACTAACAATATTAGACATAAATCTCCCTTTGAGAAAATGACATAATGCATAAATTCATAAACCAAATTAATCTTGAAGCATCAATAAGAATATCTTAGAATGATCGACGATTTCAGAAAAAATTGACTTCCTCTGTAGAATACTTACAGTTGCTCTCTCAGTACTAAAAGCTAGGGATCTCCTACTCCACAAAATCCCATGGCTATACGTACGTTTTTTGGTATCCAAACCAATTTAATCTGGTTTGAGCACTATCGGACCCATATTTGGGGCGGCCCTCCCAACACAATATTTTCCATTTTTTTGGGCAGCTCTCCCATATGGGGTTATATGCATGTTTTTGAATGTAGGATTCAGTAAATATTAAGGATAAAATATAATGTCGTTGCTTAGGGTACAAATTTGTCGGAAATCATTCATTTCCTTCACATGAGTAACTACTATAACCAGAATGTAGAAAACAATAAAAATCAGTTCATAGATGACAAAAAAAAAAAGATAACATAAGTAAACCTTTTCAACTCTTGAAGTGACCTCTTCTAGTTTCTCTTCAGTATCTTGTGCTTTAGATTTTAAAATATGGAGATCAAAGTTGTTCTTTCTCAAGGCAGGCCAAAGAAGTTGTACCTATGCATTTCCAAGCCTATTCCTCATATCAGTTGAACTTTAATTAACTCCAGAAAATAAAATGCCGTAAATTATTCAGTGTCATATGAACAACCAAGAGAAGTAACACTGGGGGAGTTTGGGGAAAAAAAACCTCTTCCTCCAGAGCTTTAAACCGTCTCTCAGCATGCAACGAATCAGCCTGCAAGATAGATCAATACATGATTTTCAAATACAAGAAAAAATTGAGAAAGCATCAATCTTATGCATAATCACATATTTTTCAATTATGTGACCAAATAATAGACAATTTGAAACAAGAAGGTCAAATTAAGTGTATAAGTAGGTCTATTCACTATGCGTTGCTTCTTCTTTTTCCGACATTACAAGGGGAAAAATACTTGAGGAAGTTTAGAGAATATGCAGATGACATAATTTGAAACTGGTGGAAGACGAACCTTCATTATGGAGAGAGTAGATTGCAGATGATGGATTTTTTCCGACATTTCAGTCATTCGCTTCTCACACTCTTCCAGGTACAGCTCCCTTTCCTTTAATTTTTTATTGCTTTCTTCAAGAACCGATTCTGCATTCCTCAAAACAAAATGAAGAAAAAAAAAAAAAGGTTCTCAACATAAAATCGATATGCAAAGCAGAAGCAAAACTTATGGAAGGGAAGATGGGGGATTCGTAGTGATGCACATAACATGAATTAGAAACTTGATGGATAAAATATTAAGGCGAGAGTTGTTACCTAAATGAGCGATTTTGAGGTTGATTTGGTGGATTTGGGAGGTGATTGGTTGAGCTGAAACAGAAAGCGAAGTGTGGTGGAGAAGGAGAGGAAAGAAAGCTAGGAAGATGGTAATGGAAGGAACAAGATAGAGCAGCTCCAACGCCATTGTGATGCTTCTCTTTCTCTACTCTCAAACACCACCTTCCCCCTCCCCCGAACACTATCGCATTTCTTTGGTTTAAGTATAACACTCCTCACTTTAAAATAAATAATTAGGGTTTTATTTTTTTATTAATCTAGAAATAAATTATCTCGTCTCGCAGATATAAATTTGTGGGCTCCATCATCTAACAAAAAATAGTATTGAAGAATGTGTAGGAGAGAAAACTTATCTCATATAATATATGAGAATAGTTTTTCCCAAATAATTAAATAACTTTCAAGAAAAATATAAAATGTGCATATGCAAAAGATTTGCCATTATTTTTTGTAGAAAGATATTAACATTTTTTTAAAAATAATTATTTTATGTTTGGATTTAAAATTAATACAGACATTAGTTTGAATATTTTTTATTAAAAAGTCCTTTTTGAAAGTATAAAACTCTAGCTTATAAAAAATATACATTTTTCTTATGCTTCGAGTTCTTTTTTATTTGGTAAATCTTTTTTTATTTTAAAAGCTCGTTTAAAACTGTTTTCAGAATAACATTTATAAAATCCAAATGTACATGTTACATTCTTAGGCAGAGCTCATTTCCAATTTTCTATCAAATACGACTTTCTATTTATCATTTTTTTAATATTCGATTTGACATTTTTTTAACAGTTGTTTCCCTTCTAGTTGTGAACCTTTTTTTTTTTTTTTTTGGTATAAAGTTGTGAACTTTTGATCGTGGGCATATATGTATTATAGAATAAAGTTCAACAAAATAAAGAGTATTCACCAAAAAAACATATATGCCTATGTTGTTATGTCTCGCGATTATTTTGCTGGACATTATTTCTCATATTAAGGATTGAAATTGAATAAAATACTCAAGCCACAAAGCTCTCTCTCAATAGAATAATATTTTACGATGAATCTCATTTTTAACATTTCTTTTTATTTGGATTATATCTTTGTAGACTAGAGTAATAAAAATCCCTTACGGAAATATATAAAACATTCATCTTCGCAAAAATATTGACCACTCATAAAAATCTTGTCACTAAAGGCTTGTGATTCACAAGCTAACTTTAAGCCCTTAACAATATATATGAATATCTACGGGCTACGAAGTAGATACTGAAATGTTTGATAACAAGATATCAACAATCAAATTTAAAATGTTAAAACAGGATTTAAATCCTCTTATATGAAAAAGTGATCATGTTATTTAATCACAATCACTCATTTAAAAATTATACACTTTTCTCTCTTTTACCTCATCATTAATGAGTGAAAATAAGTAATTGTAATTAAAATAAACATGATCACTTTTTCACATGAGGATCTAAATCCGTTAAAACATAACGGAAGACAATTGATTCAGAGGTTTCAAACCCTAAAAATGGAAAATCTGATTGTAGAAATAAATTCAAATTTCAACTTTTTTGGTCAACATACTGTCAATGGAATAATTTAACAAGTAGAATTGTTAATCATTATTCACAAATATTTCAAGGGCTGAAGATCGCTGAACAATATAAAATTGGGCGACTCTAAAGAACCTCAGTTCTCAAAAGTTTACCATCTTATCCATCTGGATTGATGACCAAAAATATTACCAGGATTTGGATTTTCAGCTAGTATCGGCTTTCATGAAACCATCCAGGAGACTTGTTACGACATACTTTCCAGTAGGTCGAGATAACAGTTAGCAAAAATGAAATAATACACATGGGATAGTAATTTGTCCCCAAAGTAACGGCCAACATATAATTGTGCACTTTGGTTAGACCAGTAAACCTAATTGTCATGGGTCATGGCCAAAATTTTGTGATTCAACTGAGCAAGGTATCAAGATTCCTAATACCTCGCTATGTTTTCATTGTCTAGTTTCTTCTGGCTTTCCCAAACTAAACTAAAATTTCTAAATACTTTTATCTAGAAATACAGATAATCACCTATTATCAATCATTGTTAACTTCGTCTAGTGGAACTTTAGTGATCAGAAAGGGCATCGGCAGGGATCAATTTTCCAAGTCCTCTCAGCATACTCTTGAATGGTCCTGTCACTGCTAAATCTCCCAGAGCCGGCAACACTAAGGATACTCATCTTAGTCCACTTCTCTGGTTCAACAAATGCTTTATCGGCGGCAGCCTGTTATCATACTTAAGCATGGTTAAATTCTAACATAAAAAAAATGAAAAAAAACAAAAAAACAGAGTAGTAATATGGAAGGTTTGGAGACTCATCAAAAGAATACGAAGTACCTGTGCCTCAAGGTAGCTCCCAAAATCAGAGCCAAGAAGATAGAAATCATTACCAACTTCTACCGTGTCACATAAGGATTTAAAGTATTCTTTATAGCCAAAATATCCATCTCGAACCATCCTAATTATATTATCAGATTAAAGCAGCTAATCAGCAAAAGAAAAACTTTCGAATGGCTAAGAGTAATGTTTCCTTTTTTAGTATACTTAATTTTACTCATTGAACTGTAAGTTAATGGTTAATAATTGAATAACTAAACTGTGATTGGAAATTTTATCCAAAATTGTTAATAATCCACTTATTCTTTCTTTAAAGAGGGAAAATTTGTTTTCATACCTCAACACACGTGCAAATTGCAGAGGTACTTTTAAACCAGATCCTTTTTCACGCAGTTCTGCAACTTCTTGCACTTTTGCCCCAAAGAGAAACTGAAACAAGTGTAGATATTTTGAACTGAAACTGTTAAGTCAATATTTTTAACATGAATACAGGACAAGTTTCCAAGGAAGATCAAAGAAAGCCTCCGTTATTATAAGATATTACAATTATTCATAAAACTTGAGCTTGAAATTAAATTTCTTCTTGCATAGTTTCAGACAGGCAAGCATGAAGCCAAGGCTGAGTTCAGTCAAGCCAACTACATGATTCTATCCCTTCTAAGAAGCAGTAAACATAGGGATTTAAAAGCACCTCTAAGTTACAGATCAACACATCTCCCAAGCAGATTTACAAAAAGCAAGTCTTATAGGTAAAAAGAGCTTAAGAAATATGCCTATGTAACCTGATTCATAAATTTGAGAACCATTCTCAATTTTTATAAGGGCACTTAAAGCATCATATAAGTTATCACTTACCAAGTTATCCGACCCTACTTCTTCAATTATTTCTACCGTAGATCCATCTGTCGTAGCTAAAAGTAAACATCCATTCATCAAAAATTTCATGCTCCCAGTTCCTGATGCTTCGTGTCCTGCAGTGCTATAGGATAATTATAGCTGTCAATACGCAACAAACCTGCACTGCATTTCTCAAAACTATTTTTTAAAAAAAGGAGGGAAAAAATCTGCAATATGCAAAGCATTGAGCAAGAATAAGGTTTTTGTAAAGAACCAATTCAACCCAAAAGCTTAAGCTATTGGGTGAGGCTTCATTAATGGTTTTATATATCTCAACACGCCCCCTCACACGAGAGCCCACTGGACTTGAAGGGTGGACAATGCACAGGCCCACCTACCTGTGCGAAGAAAGAAATTCCACTAGAAAGAAAGTGGGGGGAGGTGAGGATCGAACCCGGAACACGAGGCTCTGATACCATGTAAAGAACCAATTCAACCCAAAAGCTTAAGCTATTGGGTGAGGCTGCATTAATGATTTTATATATCTCAACAGTTTTCAAGCATACGGCCCAATGTGTCATGTGAAGGCAATATAACAAAAATCTATAGGGCCGACCCAGTTCAAATACCCACTTCGTGAGTGTCTGGGGAAGGGAATACTCTAGACTAAAAATCACATATAACACAAAGACCTAGATTGGTTATAACTGAAATTCAAGTCTATCAAAAGACAATAATACTGTTTTCGTTAAGCTATTCAAGCAGTATCATAGTAGTTAATTGCGTCGTATTGGCGTTGCGGTGCCTCGCCGCAAGAAACCACGTCGCGCCGCACCGGAATGCAATAGCGGCCATTGCGATCGCATTTGCGGCCAAAAAAATTTAAGGGTTTTTTAGTCTATCCGCGTCTCTCTCTGTCACTTCTGCTATCTCTGCATTTAAAAAATGTTTCTTTTTGTCATTATTTCTGTCATATATCTATTCCGCTATTTCCGCAACCGCAATCCGCTATAACGCTATAGCGTTTTTTGGGGTTGGCCGCGACATGCCGCAATCCACATTTGATAACTTTGAGCAGTATATTATCCCCACTACTTAGTTGTACGTCATTCTACATCTCTCTTTTATTTGAAACTTTCTGCTCTTTCCTGATCATGATGAGCATGACAATATCAAGCATGACAAGAAGTGAGGCAGAAAACTGCTATGCTAATAGGTAACATCGATGACAACTAAAAGGGGCACTATAATAGATGAGAATTAAATTAACAAACCTTATATGTTGGGAAAGGTCAGCCCCTGGTATTACCAATTCAGCAACAGACACATTATAGTCAGGGATAAAAACCTACAAAGTAACAATGAGCCTGGATCAAAAAAGAATGCCAAAACAAATACAGTATACTTTTAACAGGTGCAACCTGTGTTGTACTATCTAGTGAGAAACGCAAATAGAAAATACAAGAGTGATAAAAAACACCACAAAAGAACAGTTGTAACTTGCAACATACCAATTTCAGAAGATCTCCGACATCAGTGTCATTATTAATTTTTTCTGCTACAGCATGACAAAGTTTGATAATCTTTTTTGCAATTTCATAACCAGGAGCAGCTTTCCCACCAATTATGCAAACGCGAGGTACAACTTTCCTCCTGTCATTCTTGTCCATATTCTGCAAGAAAGCATGTAGTAAAAGCAAAATATTAGTCGATGCCTCATCAGTATGTATGTAGGTGACTAAGTATGTGAACCATAACTGAGCTGAACATCAGATTAAGACAAAAGAACAGCTAACTGAGCATATGCATATATTTTTCTTTTAGAGGAAAAAATATTTTTCCACTTGAAATGCATTTATTTATAAATAAATTCTTTTAGTACCAAGGAACACATATTACCTTGAGACAGTCATATCTGTGGATAATTCCAAATATATTAAGCAACTGTCTCTTGTACTCATGTATACGCTTCACCTGAACATCAAACATTGCATCCAAACTGACCTGCAACTCAGAAAGACACGGGAAAAAGTAACTTCTCGGATAGTAATGAAGAAGAGAAGAAATGTTTAGGTAAAATTCTTTCACTTAAACCTTCACGTCACTCATTGCTTCGATGTACTCAGCAAGCCTCATTTTATTAACCTTTTTAACCTACAATATCAAAAGGACAGAAAGGTATATTAGAGAAGATTATATCTAGTTCCTCCGAATATAAAAAATTTCCAGAAACAATAAATAAACCTTGAAATATTACCATTTTCCATTCTTGATGGAAATCACTATTTTCAACATGATCTCTCAATCCTGTCAGAAGGTCAGCATCACGGATCCAAGCTTCAGTCCCTAGCCATTTTGATATAAGACCACATAAACTAGGATTGCTCACCACAATCCACCGACGCTGACAAATATCAATTCACTGGATTATTAGTTGATGCACATGTAATTGCACATTTTTATTCAGTGCTCAATAGAATAACTGTTGTAGTTGTCAAGTTCAACAAACAAAATTTACTCTGAAGAAAAATATGTACAATTAATTGCACCATAAGCATCTCTAAATTATATGGCCAACGGATCGCTATCCAAGATGTAGTTGATAGACACAAGTCTTCCACCAACAGTAATTACAGGGAGGGAACAAATTTCATACAGGGAAACTAGATGATATTTCTATTGACAGCCATTACACTGCTCACGGACCACATTCCATACATGGAAACATGATCTTCCAACAGACACGGTATGATTGAAGAAAAAGCCACTTAAATATTTTCATATAACTATATATACATAACAGAAGGTCAAACAACAGTTACATATATACGGTAGTAGTAACTGGAATTTCCTACCGGGGTTACACCATTTGTCTTGTATTGAAATTTTTCAGGCCATAGCTCATAGAAGTCCTGCAAAGTTGAACAAATTTAATTACTTTAAGATTTCACAATCAGCCAGGGTGATAAAGACAATGAAGTGATTTGGCATGATAAATTCATACCTTAAATGTTCTTGCTTTTAGTGTATCTAAATGTAATTTTGAAACACCATTAACAGTATGGGAGCAAACAATTGACAAGTTGGCCATTCGTATGCTCTGCAAATCCAATACACAATCAAAACTGTTTACGATGTAAATATACTATCGTGCAACCAACTCTCCTAAAAACTTAAGCTATTAAGTGAAGGCACATGAATGGTTTTTATATTTATGTTTCCGACACACTTCCTCACGCAAGAGCCTCTTAGGCTTGAAAGGTGAGCAATGCACAAACTCACCTATCTCATGCTAAGAAATTCCACAATATTTATTAGAAGAATGGGAGCAGCAAGGATCGAACTACAGATCACTTGGTCATAGAGATTCTGATGCCATGTCATGCAACCAGTTCTCCCAAAAGCTTAAGCTATTAGGTGGAGGCACATGAATAATTTTTATATTTATATTTCTAACATATACAATACATTAAAGACAGACTACCATAAATAAGATATTCAAGAATGCAAGCCCCACAATTCCAGATATCTTTGAATCTGCAAACAGTTACTAATAGTCTTGAATTACTATCCCACAATGCATAAGAATTCACAAACATGCATCTTATATTCAGCTTAAAAGTTAGCTAAAGCAATAGCTTCTAGGGAAAAGGACTGTTCTAAGTTGTATGATTATGAATTACAACAATCTCCCCCTTCCCCACCCCTTTAATTCACATATTCCTTACGGATGCCCTTCATTTGTACGCCATCTACATCGGGGAGACTTATGCACTGTCAGTGGTTTGAACTCAATGCCTAACTGGTCATTGAATTGAATCTAAAATTTATGTATCACATGCTAGATCAATATGAACAGAATTCAGGAGTTTATAAATATGAAATTTTTTAAAGGGTAGTTTGAATAAAGAATTAGCTGTGAAACTAGCCAATGCACCAAACTTAAAGAGAGACCAGAGGAGACGAACAGAGCACCTCAAGGAAGCTATATAGGTATGAAAGGCTAGTAACTGAAAATGCCTCAAGAAAGTGAACACAACCCAAGCTGAATGGATAGGACTTGAAAAAGGGTATTCTAATATATTATAGAATTGTAAATAATCTGTACAAAGGGTTCTCTATTTATAGAGAATACTTGACCTAATTTTGACCTAATGGGTTTGGCCCAATACAACAAATAAATGACTAAATAATAACTAAATAGTTATTATTTACAACACTCCCCCTCAAGCTGAGGAATAGATATTTATCATTCTCAGCTCGCTAGTAAGTTCTTGAAATTTGTCTGAAGGAAGCCCCTTTGTTAATAGATCAGCTAATTGACGCCCAGTGGGAATGTATGGAGTGGTAATCAACCCGCTATCAAGTTTCTCTTTGATGAAATGGCGGTCAACCTCAATATGTTTAGTCCGATCATGTTGAACTGGATTATGAGCTATACAAATAGCGGACTTATTATCACATAGCAGCTTCATAGGTCCCTCACATTTTATTTTGAGATTATCAAGTACAATTTTCAGCCACAGTAACTCACAAATGTCTTGAGCCATAGCTCGAAATTCAGCTTCTGCACTTGATCTAGCAACCACATCTTGTTTCTTACTTCTCCATGTCACCAAGTTACCGCAAAGAAACATGCAATAACCAGTGGTAGAACGACGGTCAGTCACGGATCCAGCATAATCAGCATCTGTGTAGACTTCTAAAGATAGATTGCCATCACGTCGGAATAACAATCCTTTACCAGGAGTACCTTTAAGATACTAAAGAATTCTCTCTACTGCATGCATGTGTTTTTCTTTTGGATCGTGCATAAACTGACTGACAACACTAACAGCATAAGCTAGGTCTGGTCTAGTATGGGCCAGATATATCAATTTCCCAACTAGCCGTTGATATTGTCCTTTATCAACTGGAGGACTCTTCTTCATAGCCCATCTTGTGATTCTGCTCAATAGGAGTATTAGAGGGTTTACACCCGAGCTTTCCTGCTTCTTTGAGAAGATCAAGAACATATTTCCTCTGGCTGATAAAAATTTCTTTGCTTGAATGAGCTACTTCTATCCCTAGGAAATATATCAGTTTCCCAAGGTTTTTGATTTCAAACTCAGAGGCAAGCCGTGTTTGCAGAATCTGTCTCTCCACAAAATCATCACTTGTGATAATAATATCATCAACATATACAAGGAGCACAGTAAGCTTCCCATTTTGGTAGTGCTTGAAGAAAAGAGTGTGATCTCCTTGACTCTGTCTGTATCCTAAGGTCATCATAACCTTAGTAAATCTTCCAAACCAAGCACGAGGTGACTGCTTCAATCCATACAAGACCTTTTTTAATCTACAAACTTTATTTTCCCCCTTCACAGAATCAAAACCAGGCGGGATTTCCATGTAGACTTCTTCTTCTAACTCACCATTGAGGAAAGCATTTTTCACATCAAATTGATTTATATCCCAATTGTAATGGGCAGCAAGGGATAACAAGATTCTCACTGTATTCATCTTTGCAATTGGAGCAAAGGTTTCTTCATAATCAATGCCATAGGTTTGAGTGTAACCTTTGGCCACTAATCGAGTCTTATATCTCTCAAGAGTGCCATCAGAATTATATTTCAGGGCATAAACCCATCTGCACCCTACTGCTTTCTTTCCGTTGGGTCTATCAATAACCTCTCATGTTTTATTTTTCTCCAAAGCATTCATCTCTCCTCTTGCATGGCTTGAGCCCAATTCCTATCTTTCAAGGCTTCATGTACTGATTTTGGGATTGCAATAGAATCTAGTGCTGAAACAAAGCTTTTGTGCTGCACAGAAAGATTAGCAGAGGAAACAAAGTGGGAGATAGGGTATTGAGTACAAGAAGGACAGGAGGAACAAGTTTTCTTGTGACAAGATCTTTTTCCTTTTCTAAGAGCAATAGGTAAGTCATCAGAAGTAGAAGCAATGGGTAAGTCATTAGAGATATCAGAAGAAATAGACAAATCATGAGAGGAAATAATATTAGAATCAAAAACAAGAGATTCAGGAGACTCAGAAGAAATAGGAGATTCAGGACTTACCAGTGGTTCAGACAATTGAGGTTGCTGGTGAGACAGTATGGGTTGTTTCCTCCTCTGATATACCAATTCAGGTGTCAAAATTTTCCGTATCTCAGGTGTATTTGAAGGTTCTGACACACCAGGAGCAGACACACTAGGAAGAGAGAAGATTGATCCAGACTCAAAGAAGGAAGGGGACGAGTCTTCTGAAGAACTGTTCTCCTCCTGACGATGAGGACCCAGGAAATAAGATTCAGATTCTTGAAAGGTGACATCCATAGAAACAAAAAATTTCCGACTTGGTGGATGATAACACTTGTACCCTTTTTTATAAGGGGTATAACCAAGGAAGACACACTTAAGAGCCCTAAGATCCAACTTACTCCGATGTTGTTTATGAACATGGACAAAAGCAACACATCCAAACACTCTTGGTGGAAGGCTCTGCAATATGGGAACAGAAGGAAAGAAGGAAGTCATGGAATGAATAGGACTGATATTGTTAAGAACCCGTGAAGGTAAACGGTTGATCAAAAAAGTTTAGCTAACACTGCTTCTCCCCAATAAGAACTAGGAACAGATGTCTGGAAAAATAGTGCTCTAGCAACTCCAAGAAGATGACGATTTTTCCTTTCAGCAACCCCGTTTTGTTGAGGGGTATCAACACATGTGAGCTCATGAATCATACCTCTGTCTGAAATGAATTGTGACAGGCGTTGATTGACGTACTCAGTACCATTATCAGATCTGAGTCTTTTAATACCCTTACCAAACTGAGTCTCAACCATGTGATGAAACCGAATAAATATCTCTGGTACTTCAGACTTGTCTTTCATCAAGTATATCCATGTTATCCGAGTACAATCGTCAATAAAAGAAACAAACCACCTTGCACCTGAAACACTGTGCACTTTAGAAGGGCCCCAAACATCAGAATGGATAAGAGAAAAAGGTTCCCTGCTTTTAATAGTGCTAGAAGGAAATGACACTCGATGGTGTTTTGCAAATTCACAAACATCACAATGAAAGGTCTCAACCGACTTATTGAGAAACAGAGATGGGAACATAGACTTCAAAAGACTAAATGGTGGATGCCCCAGACGCTTGTGATGGAGCCAAATCATAGACTCTGCAGTAGAAGGATGACGTGTCATTAATAACTGATTTTTGCTAGCATGGTCTGGAAGGAGATGATACAACCCATCCTGTTCATTAGCAACTCCAATTGTCTTCTTCGTGGTAAGATCCTGAATAACACAATGAGAAGGAAAAAATGTGATAGAACAATTCAAATCAGTTGTAAGTTTTTGAGTGGAGATAAGATTAGTAGAAAGCTGATGAACATAAAGAACATTTTTAAGAAACAAGGAAGGTTGAATTTGAATGTTACCAGAACCAATAACTGATTTATGGGATCCATCAGCTACGGATATAGTATGACTACCAACGGTAGGATGATAAGAACAAAACAACTCAGTACGACAAGCCATATGATCAGTTGCACCAGAACCCAAAATCCATGAGGTTTTAAAATCAGTGCAAGAAGGAAGAAGAGATATAGAACGTGTGCTCTTACCAGATAAGATCGAAGAACTATCATGCTCGGCCATTCTTTAACAAAAAAAGTTAACAACCAGCGATAAAATCAACCAAACAGAATATCAAATGACCTCTGATCAGAAAAATAATCACAGATCCAGACAGAAGACAAGAAGACGAGAAGAATGGTGGTGGTCCGGTCCAAAAACACAACCGCACGCGCCTCCACACGCTGGAGAAAGGAGCTGCGCGTGGACTTCACTCGCCGGGAAAGGGACGGTGCGTGAGAGCGCGTGGAGGGGCTTCTTCGGCTGAGATTTTTCTGGTGTTGTCATCCGGTGAGCGCGCACCTGTCTGTGGGTGGTCGCGGTTGAAAAGTCGCCGGAAAGTGGTCCAAACGGTGAAGACAGATCTGATTGGAGGCGGTCGGAGGTGTTTGGGTCGTTTGTGGCGGAGGAACAGCGCGTGGAATGATAGAACGGAGGAAAAATAAGGTTAACAATGGTCCCCTTGGTCCAAAAGGTCCCCGGAAAAATTTTCCGGTGGCGGCTGATGGCGGCAAGAGGCAAAGAAATTGGGGTTTTGTTAAAAAAAGAAGATAATATGTGCGGAAGCAAAGCCCTCAAATCGAGAGCTTTGATACCAACTTGAAAAAGGGTATTCTAATATATTATAGAATTGTAAATAATCTATACAAAGGGTTCTCTATTTATAGAGAATACTTGACCTAATTTTGACCTAATGGGCTTGGCCCAATACAACAAATAAATGACTAAATAATAACTAAATAATTATTATTTACAACAATAGGGGAAGTAACAATCTACTCCAAGTTAGACTTGAGAGTGTTAGAGAATAATATAAACCATTAAAAAGGCTCTCATCCAATAGCTTAAGGTTTTGGGTTGAAATGGTTCTTTACATGGTATCAGAGCTTCAGTGACCATAAGGTCACGAGTTCGATCCTCACTCCCACTCACTTGTAGAATTAAATCAGCATAAGGTAAAACCAAAAAAAATTGGGCCTATGCAATATCCACGTTTCAAGCCCAAAGGGCTCTTGCATGAGGAGGTGTGTTAGAGAATAATATAAACCATTAAAAAGGCTCTCACCCAATACCTTAAGGTTTTGGGTTGAATTGGTTCTTTACAGAGAGTTAGTAGCTCATTAACTTGTGAACATGACCATAGTAGTGAGCTTAAAGGGAGAAGGGAAACCAACAGTCAGGGTAGCAAGAGACCATGAAGGTTTGAAAGGATCCGTTAAATGAGAGGGGAGAAAGGTATTTATAGTGTCTATTGATGGGTGCATTTAGTGTGAGGGTATTTATGATGTCTAAGTTGATGGGTGCATTTAATGCATGGCAAAAGTGGGAAATGACAGAAAGAATTCAGTGAATTGGCATGTGTTATGATGTGAATTGCTGTCCAATTCCTATAGCTCAAACTTTCAGGGCATATTTTTTCCTTCTAATATCAGAGCCTCTCATTCAGTAAGTCTTTGTTTCAAGACCTATACACAATACTAGACATTAACTGATTGTCAAATAACATAATTTACAATATTCATAATAATAAAATTTTCAACCACGAGCAAAAAGACAATACAGCCGACTAAACGTTACAAGATTAAGCATTGACATATTGTTCTAGAATACCTTCACGGCACCTTCTTCAACAATTGACATCCGGGACAGTCGATTGTAATCTAAACCAATCCTTTTCTTCAACTCCTCCATAAAATTAGTATTTATGTCGAATAAAATCTGAAAAAGGGTATTTAAATTACTTGGTAAATAATTGCACTATAATAAAAAAAATTAAGAAAAGGAATTACTTTTATGAGAACAAAGGACAAAAAAAAATTAGATTCGTCAACATTTTCACTCTGGATTACTGAAGATTGTGGTTTAGCATGGTGCCTAGAAAAATAAGTGCACAACACAGTCAAATGCTCTCATGCTTTAGTCAAAAATATAGGTAAAAAAGGATTAAACATTTTTTTTTCTGCCATTCAATTGACTAAAGTGAAATACATAAGGTAAAATGCTACATAAATACAGAAAGCAAATGTCTTAGTGAACATACCTGCAAATGGCGAGGGAGAAGGCTGCCAAGCAGATCAACAGGGATTTTCTCGAGTCCTTCAGCTACCACTGTGTGAGTTGTAAAAGAGAAAATTTTGCATACAATGTCCCATGCTTTATTCCAGCCCAAATGTTCTTCATCAACTAATATTCGCATAATCTCAGCAATTGAAAGAGATGGATGGGTATCATTTAGATGGAGAGCAACCTAATTAGAGGAAAGGCATAATCTCAGCTAATGCGTACTATAAATTCTAGCTCATGTTCTCTCTCACCAATATATACTGAATAAACAGATAAGAATCACTACTAGGAAAAAAACAGTCACATGGAGAAATCCAGAATCTTACCAAATCACAGAGAAAAATTTAAAAAACTAATAAAAATTACATATCATTGATTTTTATATAGTCATCACCACACCAACTAACAAGCAAATGTGCAAGTACAAAATATTTGACAATGAACCTTCTCTGGCAATTCCTCAAAATTATTATGTGCTTCTTTGAACCTTCGGATGATGTCTTGTAAAGATGCTGAGACAAAGAAATATTGTTGTTTCAGTCTCATCTCCTTCCCCTGAAAAACACACACAAGGTAGTAAATGAGAAGAGGGATTGAATACTCTTCACTCTTCAGAATGGGGAAAAATGACTATACTGCAAACAGTTATCCTATCCATAAAAGATTCAAGTGACTATATCAACTTCCTAAGGTAATATTCCTACCAATGGATATGACAATGGGGGCAGTCAATATTGGGTGGAGACAACTAAAACAAACTAAAATAGAACTTGTGGAAGCTTAAAATTAAAAGCTTGAGAAACATATCATAGTAATGCACAATAGCACACATTAAATAGGGAACAACACTTTGAGAACAAAAGAAGCAGAGGAAAACAAACAGCCCTTTGTTGGTTTAACAATTAATACCACGTGTCTTCACCATGCCTTTGCTTGTATATTTTGCAGATAATCAATTCAATAAAAAACAACGTTGAGCAAAAAAATACAGATAAGATCATTTAAAACAACTGCATAAGACATTGGAATGTCAATGAAAAACTAAGCTTCTATAAAGATTCTACACAAATTATCTAATACAATGAGGAAACAATAAAACTATATTAAGCAATTTTAAATGAAAGTAATATGGGAGTCTCTGGTCCTTACAACCATAAACCAATGCCAAAAATATGACAACACTAGCTTTCATTATCAAGCGTCAAGACAAAGCTAAGAAGACAAACATTACAAGTTCTAAGCAGATAATGGCAACAACTAAATCAATATTATTCTTATTTTTAAAAAAAATGCTTACCTGATGCGAACGGTCATCGGGGTACAAAACATTACTTATAGTTTCAGCCCTTTGTCTGTTGATAACAGAATTAATGTAGTCTCCGGTGTTATAGGCCTCCTACAAATAATAATACGAAGAAAAGGGAATTCACCCTAAGCCCATATAAACCAAAAGATATGACAAATTAAACTCAAAATAACAGACTAAAGCAGATCACCTTTCATCTGATTCTAAGTTAAGTTCATTCTGAGAAAAGGTATGACTATACAGGGTTATTGACCTAAATGGAATAATTTAAAGTAAAAGCTCAAGATTATACTTAGTTATTTTTCATTTACTCACACCTATATTATGATTACATCATGCCAATTATCCAGTCTCAAATTTGGAGCAGGCATTTATTCTTAAAAGAAGATTTACCAAATCAAATTGATTACTAGGTTTAGCAGCCCATAGCCGAAGGTTGATTGTATTTCTTGTCCCATAACCAGGTATTGGGTTGTCATAAGCCACAGCTTCTACCTGCATTTAGAGAAACGTATAACCAAATACCAAGTTGAGTTAGTGTCCACCTTTTAAGGAGAGGCAAGTTCCTCATCCAAATTATGAATGTTCCACAAGTCTAAAATTGCAACACGGGTAGCAGTAGGCATAAACATAATATTATTTGAAAAAATGTTCTAGAGAAAGTATCATTTCAAACCAGATTATAAATACTACCCTTACCGTCTCTCCAGGGATCCAAACTTTATGTTTTTCTCCATTCATATCTACCTCTTCAACAGTACCATAAAACTAATCCATCCAGTATAACATAGAGATGCAGTTAGTTTGTAATTTTCAGGTGATAAAGTGAAGGAAAGGCAATATCAACAGAAAACCATAAAATGAAACAAAAGCCATAACAGAAGGAAGCATGGCAAACCTTCACTTCATATGTTACATGAATCCGCTCTATCTCCCAAGGATTTCCAAAGTTCAGCCAATAATCAGGTTGCTCATGTTGAAAGCCATCCACTATGATCTGACGAAACAACCCATATTCATAACGCAGCCCGTAACTGTAAAATGAAGATCAATTCCACAAAACTCAGCTGACAGTACCCAATCTTTAGATAAGAGGCATATTTGTTTTCCATACAACAAAGAGCAAAAGTAAGTATACTTCTGTTTGCCTGCACAGTTCCAGAATCATCCCTTAGGTGATACTTAAAATAAGCATGAGAATAAACAAACATAAAAAAAATCAACTCCTCAATAGGGTATAATCCTCTATGATTAAGGTTTCAAAGGCATAATTATTATAGAAGCTGGTGAAACGTATTGCCCACAATAAATAGCAGAATTCCCCAATTCATGCAGTTTTAGGATAAAGACAATCTCAGACTATGAACTATGATTTGGAAACTAAGCTATCAAGACGCATTGTTATTGAATAAATAACACATTATATAAATATTGATGAGACTCAGAAAATCTTTGGGGGGCCCATAACAACTAAATGTGGCCAAAGAACTAAAAGCATTGGATCCCCAAACCTATAAGGCCAATTTCAAATTCAAAGCCAATATCTGTTTAAAATCTAAAAAACTGAAAACTGTGATAAAAATATTAAATGTTTCAAACATGTTGAACAAATTTCAGAAAATATCTCAAGGTAACACCATACCCCCATGCAGGATAGTCCAAAGTTGCTAAAGAATCCATTTGGCACGCTGAAAGACGAGCAAGACCACCATTCCCTAGGGCCGCATCCCCTTCCTTGTCAAGGATATAGCATATATGTACATTAAGGGATATGCATAACCACCTTAAATGCTCACTGAGATAATAGTACTACAACAGTAGACTGGAGAATACAAAATAATTAGATTAAACGTTGATAACACCTGCTCAGCCAAAACTTCGTACTCAAATCCAAGTTGGCTTAGTGCCTCTGCATATTGATCCTGGATGCCAAGATTGATGACACTATTTGACAAGGAACGACCTGATATCCAAAAAACAGGTGTTCTTAAGCATTGGATACACGAACAGCATCAGCTGTATACTTTCACAAGCATAACCGTTCATTAACCGTTCACCAGATGAAAGAAACAGTTCAGTATCAAATTATTCAATTGTTTGACTTTGTCATGACATAAATCTTAAAAGAAATTTTGGATGCTTTAGTTTCCTTCATATTTAAAGCACCAGGGTCTTAAAATGTATAGATACTGTTATTAGACCACAACATTATATACAGGAATATATAATTATATAATATTATTTTAAGTACAGCATAATTGGAAAAATCCAAATGTCATATAATATACTATATTAGAAAATTCTAACATACACCATCACATGAAAGTCAATTAAGTAGATAAACATTACTTTGCTGAAATTTAATTTTAAGATTAGGTGTGACAAAGATCAAGATTTCCATTTCTTGTTTAAACATACTTTCATACTATATTAAAGAACCATTTGACCTAAAAATATTTATACGTTAAGCAAGGTCCAACTCATAGCACCGTGATCAAAACTATAAAATTAAAAATCTGATGTGACTTTGCACACACATCAAAAGTTTTAAACTGATATCGATTCATGTATTTTCTTTTCTTTCAAAAGAGAAAACACTTGAATATCTGTAATATTCTTTCTTCTTTTTTCGGTCTTTGACTAGGGTATCCCCACTGGTATTGGTGTGAGACTAACCCAGCGGGCAATGTCACAAATAGGAGCCCCTTCCAACAATTTCCTCTTTCAAGGTTTGAACTTTGGTCCACCTTCTCAACCCTCGAAGTGTGGCTTGCTTACCACTGCACCAAACCCTTATTGGTGAATATCTGTTCTATTCTATTAGTTCATTTCTTTACGTAGAATTTATTAATTGATTAACAGGAAAAGAAAGACTTGAAAAGGGAGAATATATTTCTGAGCTGCTTGAGGAAATCATCAGCATGATTGAGTAAACATAACATGATTTTCCATTTCTATTTTCAGGAAAATCAATCAGAAAATATACAAATCAAATCCTAATTATCAACGGCAAATATGCAGCCCCTAAATAGGAGAGATATTATCCCTACATAGGAGATACTTTCCAACAGAAAGTTTAAAAATATTCTTATTATAGGTTGGTCATGAAACTCATACTTGCAACTTGCAAGCACTTATAAAAAATGTAAACTAACTTGGAGAAAGAAATAAATTGAAATAAAGGCTAACTAAGGAGAATTATTAAAACATGTCAATCACATTTTAGGGCATCATTTTAAGTACCCATAAGAAACTCAAGTGAGAGGAAGTAGAGGCGCTTAGGTTTTGTCCTTTTGAAGTAAACGTGAGTATCATGCCAGCGTTCAATCAACCGATCTCTTACGCTATGTGACAAAGCCTACAAATGCCATTACACAAAATTAATTTTCTGATGAAAACCATTTAAAAATATGACCAACAGTAGGCCAAAATACTTGAATATATTATCTGATGCCCTTTATAATTACAAGGCTGCAATCTCAGGATATCAAACAGATCAATGAAATAAGCTTTAAATTCCCATATCGGAAGACTGAATTCCATTTACAACAAAGTTCACTGTAAAAAATGCAAGCATAGATCACAATATGCCATATATTCCTTCAACTGCTCATTCTCTATATAGAACACCAGTAAGAATTTCAATAATGACGCATCTACCATCAAAATTACCTTGCAACCTACTCATCCTCTCTACATTCTGTACCATCAAAATTACCTTGCAACCTACTCATCCTCTCTACATTCTGTAATTGAACTATTGAAGAAAGGCTTGAATTTAGTTGGTCAGTAGCTCTTGTAGTTTTCCATTAGGATTGCCAAGGAAGAGTATAATGAAATTACAAACATCAATAATTTCCTGCCAATAACTTGAACTCAAACAAAAAATCTGAAGGTGTGCGGTTCACTTTCCACATATCAATCAATTATCGACATATCATTAATAAACGGTTAACTAATATAGTTAATTGATGATTGGTTGCCATAGTTAATGATGCGTCAATAATTTATTGGCTTATTCCGGGTTTATGAAAAAAATTCTCCTAAAAAGGCGTGTTCTAAGATCGTGGAGTACCTTTCGTAATTCTTACATTCCTAATGATATTGAATTTACTGCGCCCATTAACAATTAAACACCCATTTTCCCTTTCCGTTTTCAAACACCCCCTATCTACATCTGCACCGCATAAATGGCAAAATGTACTACTGCAAAACACAACATACCAAACCAAAAGCAGTGAAGTTTAAATGCACGTTACCTGATACGCTTCGAAATCGTCAAAACTAAACCGTGATCTCGCAACCGTGTACTCAACATGATGAAGAATATCCTTTTGAAGACTGAAAGGGTCGATTTTCAGAAACCCGTCCATTAAGCTAAACATTCTCTCTGCTTTTGCCCTATGCTCCCCAAACCCCTCCATCAATCCAGGCCTCCTCACTACAATCCCTCGGTTCGCCGTAGACCTCGCCACCGAAACCTTCCCATCGTCGCCGCCGCTAATCGCCTCCGCCAACGCTCGTTTGATCCTCTCCAAGTTCTCTGAGTCCTCGATTTTGTTTCCATGAGAATCCGTCACAAAGAACTTCTTGACGAAGAAGTCGCCCTCGAATTCGACGGTGGCCCTGTCGATGCTGAGGCCGAGGACCTTGAAAACCCTGGTTATGACCTGAAGGAGGCCGATACGGTTGCGAGCTCGGATCACGAATGCAGTGGAGTCGCCGGAGTCGGAGTTATCGACGGCGATAGTTGACGTGGAGGGAGTTGATTCGTTTGTAGAAGCTCGCAAACGGTTATTCCGGCGAGCGGTGCCACACGGGATCGAAAGCGAGGAGAACTGTGCCGGAGACGGAAATGGACGGAAGGAATTCAGTGGATTTGAAAATGAATGAGTGAGGAGAGGAAACGAAATTGTTTGCATTTTCCCGGGAATTCAAAATTTTCCCGGAAAATTTTATGAAGTAAAAGAGAATGGTTTAGTTTAGCCTAGTCATTTGTGATAAAAGTAGTAGCGGGAAGTGTGCCATTCCAACTAGAACATCGTTCTCTTTCTACTTTTGAAAAGGAGTTCACCTTTTTTTTTTCCGTGAAAGTAAGCAAGAAGCTCATGAATTCACGTGATAGAATATTTTCTTTTGACGATAAGTTATTTTATAATAATTAACTTTGAGATTTAAAAAAAAAAATACGAAAGATTAAATTCTGTGTCTGGGAGGCATAGTTTGATGTTTTGTACATGAATTGATTTTTTTGAAAAATGATCATTGGTGTGAGGGATGTTACGATATTTCATGGTTATGTGTTGATTTTTATGTTGAAGTTAGGAGGCGTTTGGTTTAAGGATTTGGTTGAGAGTGACAGGGAAATGATTCATGGGCATCTAAGCTAACCATGTTTGGTTGAAGGAATTGTCAAACTTCTCTACCTAAATCAGTTTCCTATCAAACCATATTGCATATGTATCTCCCTCCATTTAGCCGGCGAAAGAAACCCAATGGCAGGATGGTATTATGAAAAGCTGCCTAAATTGGTCATATTGCATTTTATACAAAAGACGAACGAACCTTCACTTTATTTGCTTTTGCATATGTAAGTTGTCAATTGAAAAAACAGGTTACAATAGGGTAGGATGACTGATTGAAATGATTTTGAAAAGTAAAGTTATTTTCGTAAAAGCATATTTTTTCTCATTTATATTTAATCAAAAGTCAAACATAGACTTTGCAAAGTTATCTAATTTTCTCTGTAAAATTGTTTTCAACCAAACAACTATTTTTACATTTTTTTATCAAACTCACTTCTTAACTATTTTCCTACTAATCACATTTTCTTATGATTCATAAAATTTCTTTTCAACCAAACGTCCCGACGACAGGATACTTTGGTTTTTCGGGTAGTGCCCAAACCAACTCTGCCTTCCAGTGCATCAAGGAAGGTGTTAACTAACGTCAGTGTTGACCCCTTGTTTTCGGTGGAAACAGACTAAATTTACGGCGGGCAAAAATAAAAATTTGCATGAGTTTAATGTACTATTTTTTAAAAAAAAAAATTTGAAACCAAAACTTAATGGAAAAATCTTGAGTTATGCCTTAGTTTGGACTGTGGAGTAATGTTTTAAAAACTAAACCAAAAAAACTTTTAGGTCTTGATTCAGTTAATTCAATTAGTTGAATTTGAAATTAAACTGATGTTAAAAAATTGAATAGACAATTCTCCATCTAAGTCTGCTAATCTGTTTTAATTTTTAAAACATTGCCTCAGTTTTCCCTAGAACTCCTAGGTTATTTATGCTCCTGGGGCATTTATCCTCTAAATAAAAGTTAACAGGCCTTTTTAAAAAAAAAAAAAAAAACTCAAATAAGCATGCCTTAATAAATGGACTTGAAATCTTAAAAAAGTTAATCGTGACAACTTTATCTATCAATATGACAATTGATACAATATTTTAAGGCTTTTCAAGTTATTTGGCTGTCATTATAAAGAATTTACTTCCATTAAGAAAAAATATATTTAACCATGAGGTATTTTTTAGTTAAGTTTAAAATAGCAATAGAGCGAGAGAGATTAGAGAGGACAATCACCCCCCACCCCCTCAAATTTATATATTGGTGGAGCCAGAAAAGGGTTGGGAGGGTGAAAATTCCTCTTCAAATTTATATTGCTTTAATTGTGAGTTATTATTTATGTTATTTTTTGTCGTGAATCGTTTTCCTTTTAACTTCATAGAAGTCTTCAATTGTGAGCATTATCTAGATTCTTTTATGGCTTTTAGAAGGGAATATAGATAAGTTATTTACGTTCGCTCTCAAAATAATGTTGTTTTGGATTGAAAAATTAAAAAATTAAATAAAAAGACAATTCTAACCCTGAGATAAATTATAATTATAAAAATACCTTGATTTTCGCCTCAAAACGACGTTATTTTGGGCTCAATGTAGATAACATTGACTATAAAAAAGTGAACCCTTCTTTTATATATATATAAATAATTACAACTAAAGAGATTTAAGTATCATAAACAAAAGTTCTGCTAGCTTATAAAATATATCAGAGGTGAGAGTTTTTCTAGCATATAAAATATTGAATCAAAAGTTATCTAGTGAATCTCACCTTATGTGTGAGATGATTTTATTCGTCATAAAAAAAAATTAAAATATTACACTTTTAATAATTAATTATGAATAGGTTGCAGTTTGGAAACTATGTGCAAATTAATGAAGTCATTCATGCCCAAAATGGACGAGAAAATTCAAGCGTGAATTAAAGGAAATTCACGCCCAAAGTAGGCGTGACAATTCACGTCCAATCCAGGCGTGAATTGCTTGGCCTATAAAAACCTCAAAAATTTCACTTTTCCATCTCACACTTTCTCTCTAACTTCTCTCTAAAGTTGGTCTGTCTTCTCTCTAGATTATTTGTGGAGCATTTTGTGCGGCGAAGCCCTGTCGAACAAGTAAGTCTTCATATTTATTTTATTAATTTTTTAAATATAATATTATAGTGATATAGAAATATGTTATTATAGTGATCTAGAAATATGTTAAAGTAGTGTCTTAAACCCTAGAAATATAATAGTGACTTAGGAATATAATAGTGACTGTGGAATACAATAGTGACTGTGGAATATATTAGTGAACTAAGAATATTGTACAGATTTAATTAAATAGTTTTTGTAGGTAATGTAATTTAATATTTTTGTTAACACGTGTAAATTAATATTTTTTTGTAACACATGTAATTAGTTCATTTTTGTAACACATGTAATTAATGTAATTACTTTTGAATATATTAATGAAATCAATTAATTTATTATTGTGTATAGTACACTATTATGGTTGACTCGTCATCGTCGGAGTCACCTCAGTCTACATCCGATACTGAGGCTCAAGGCGAGCCTTCAGATCCCAGGACTCACGTGCTTCCAGGACCATACAGGTGGGACGTACTTAGTAGCCTAATTTGATATTGTCGTGCATGAACGAATCATTCTCGGGAAAATTGATAGCTCAAATTGGCAACATCATCCATAATTTTATAGTTGAGGTACAAAATTTGATTGTCATTCATTCGTTCAAAAGGAAATACAAACGGTTTCTTTCTATCTTAAGATGAATTCTAATATATTTGATAAACCAAGAAACGGTGCTACCGGGTGCGCGTCTAGTCACGGCTCTGATTGATGCACATTTTGCACACTAAACACATCATACTTAGATACGGGTTTTGTTGGAATTTATATATATATATATAAATCGTATAGACAATCTATTGGTTATGAATAAGAAGTTTGGTAGTGAAAAGGTGTGCCTTTTCGTCGACAAACAGATGTATCTTTTCATCCTAACCGACATGTTATTTCATCCTAACGGACATGTTGTTTCATCCTAACAGACATGTTGTTTCATCCTAACGGACATGTTGTTTCATCCTTGAATGGGTGTCTTTTCGTGTTGAACGAATGTGTCTTTTCGTGTCCAACGGATGTGTTGTTTCGTCGTCGAATAGGTGCCTTTTGGAACGTGACTTTACGTTGTCTATAAATAGACACTGACACCTTCAGAAAATGGATCCAATTTTTCTGCACTGAAACTCTGCCGGAATTTTTCTCCTTCCGGTTTTGCATGTTTCTTTTCATACTCCGGTGTAGTTTCCTCTGGTATTTTGTTATGTTCGTTTGGGCTGTTGATTGGTAGTGCCACCATTCTTCAGACGAAATCCGTTCTATCCTGGGAGACAAGTGTCCATCAACCTTTGGCATCAGTGAGGGGGCAAATTGTCTTAAGGAGACACGTTCTGTGGGCTCGGATTTAATTCCTCTACTGCATACATTAATCTGTTCTGATTCTTTATACTGACTACAAGTAAGTCTGTTTTTTATATTTTTTATAATTGCACAGTGATAATTCTGATCATCTACCTCCTCTGTCTTATACATGGGTTCAAATCTCTTAGTGATATAATATCACCCACTGTCTTCTATAACAATCTTAAGACAATTTGGTGTTTTGAACCTGTGATCGGTATATTTTTTATTTGCTTTAATATACTATTTTCATTTATTGAGTAATTCATATGTGATTAATCTGTGTGATTAATTTCGGATTCTGTTTGTGTAACAGAAATTGAATTTATAATCTGTGTTAAGTGTTTGATTTGGAACATTTAAATGGTGGAATATTTATTTTAATATTTTATAAATATTAATATATATTTTTTGTTTTTATCAGTATCGATTTTTCCTTGAATATTCATCTGTGTTTGAATACTGGAAGTGATGCGTTTAATCTGCATCTAATTACGAAAGTTGCCGTGGTTTTTGATTTTGGTATTTTGATTGTTTCCATTTTTTTTATCTGTGTATGGGTTTCAAAACTGTCACAGAAACCAAATCCGCACTGTTACAATATTGCACTCAGATTTGATTTTTTTTTTTATATATAATATCTTTTCTCGATGTTCGTGCATCCATATTGATTTTAAATACATACCAAAATTGGCATCTTGATTTGTGTGATCTTGATCGGTATCTTGATTTGTGTTGAACCGATTTACACATTGGTTTTCTTTTCATATTTTGTTTTTGCAATTTGGTATACACGTTGATTTGATAATATATATATTCAAAACAATCATATTGTGCAATTTGCAATTTGTTCTACTCAAAGTCATGCGCTGAATTTGCAATTTGCTGTCTTCTAATATACATGTTAAAAAAAAAAAAAAATGTTCCAATATCATGAATCCATTGTTGGTCTCCGTCCATTGTCTTTTATATATATTATATATATATATAATTAACGCCACTGGTCATATAAATATATTATATGCTGTATGATGATATTTGACATTTATGCACTGTACTATTATTCAAGTTGTGTTCGCATCAATATGAGTGCTTTGCAATATGGGTACTTGTTTACATTCATGAAAATTGAATGTTTTTCTTTTGCATCTGAGAATGAGTATGAGAACGAATCTCATCCAATGTTATGTATATGTTCTCAATGTATGCTTTAAAGATTCAAGTTTGAAACGTTGCGTTTGTCAATATCTTAAAACTTAG